GTGCTGTAAAAAGCAAAGATCTTGTTTTATGCGCAGCCCCTCTCTTCTCAAGAGCCTGCGTTTTAGATTATTATTTCCTATTTTTTATCGATGGGGGCCAGGATTTCGGACACTGGTCTATGAAGTGGATGAGTACTCCTCGGAGCGTGATATTGTTGTTATAGTAACCGAAATTATGAGGACGGTAGGGAGAACATTCAGTTAATCTGTCTCTAGTCAATACCACCTACACTCGTTGTCACCTGAAAAAAAAAAAAAAAGTTTGCGCATTGTTTTTGTTGTGCGAAGTAGTTCTTACAAGATTTGGTTGTAAAAAAAAGAAGCAATGTTTTTTTGTTTTTGTTTTTTGCGTTTGAAATATGTACGCCGGCAGTTTGATACTTTAGACCCGTGTTACAGATGAAAAAACACGGCGTAGGATGGCCCAGAAAACACGCTTTTCCATTGTAAGGCTCGTCAAATTATATGAGGCGCTGGAGAAAATTAGTCTTCTGCGTTAAACCCTTATTTTAAACTCTTCTTGTTCACGTTTCACCCATTGAAAAGCTTGCGGGAAGCCCCTCAGCCCGCACCTCGTATAGCTGCGACGCAGTACTCTTCCGCAGCATAAAAGCCGCCTGCTTTCATCGCCGTCACCATGGCAACGAACGCCAAATGACATTTTTGGGACGGCGCGTGTATCACTGAGGAGCGTGTAACCCCCCCCCCCCCCCCCCCCCCCCCTCCCCCCGTGGCGTTCACGCTATGTTCACGCCGCTTTGCGGCGACAATCTGCGGCTGCTCATTACAAAACTATTAAACTATGGCTAGCAGATGTCGTTCGGAAAATTGGCGTTCATTGCCATGGGAACGGCAATGAAAGCAGACGGCCTTTATGCTGCGGAAGAACACTGCGGCGCAGAGATACGAGGGGCGTGCTGGGGCCCTTCCCGCATGCGTTTCAACGGGCGGAACGCGAAAGAAAAGAGTTCGAAATAAGGACTTAACGCAGAAGGCTGGTTTTCTCCAGCTCCTGATAATTTGACGAGCCTTACACAAAAAAAAACATGTTTTTAAACCAAAGTTTAGAAATAGTTTTTTTTTTTTTTTTTACAACAAACATGGGTGCGATGTATTAGTGTGCCTAATAATCAAAGTACGTGCTCCAGAATTCTGGCGCCGTCACGGTTGGATCAAGCGCAAGCGAAGACACGAGTGCGCGCGTCAGCGTTCGGCCATGGTCCTCGCGTCCAATCAACGCTTTTAAGGACGCTGAGCGTCGGGCTCGGGTCCAAGTGTTGATTTGGCACCGTCCGACTGGAGCGAGAGGAGGATGATGATCGCAGGCCTCGATTAATCTGTGCGGTGTCTCTCCGGGAGAGCTTCGCACCTTCAATATAACGCTTCGCTTCGGTGTCTCGTCATGCCTCGAACGTGCGCGCGCATCCGAGGCACGTCGGAAGACAACGAAGTGTGTGCTGGCGCCGAGTATCTGAGAGAAGCGCTTGTAGCCCTCGTGCGCTTTGTCTTTTTTTTTTTTTTTTTGCACGTTGTTTATTTATGTGTTACGATAACAGTCACGATGAACCACATATAGGGAGTATTCACTGGACGCCATATTTGTGGGTGCTCTTTAAAGCGCATGCTCAAAGTGAGGTCGCATTAATAGGCTGCTAAGACCGGCAATCTTGATGGTGTGGAATGCACGCTGAAAAAGAGTGGAAGCTCGCCGTCAGCACGCGCTCAGCAGTCGCGCACACAGCTATGGCCGCCAGTGAATACTCCCTATAGACCACATCGCCACCTAGAAACGCCCTGTCGTTCTCACCCAATCGGCGACTAGAGTTATCTTCAACGCTTGATGTTTTTACGAGTGCATCGCAGGGCAGTGTGCCCGCGGGCACTAATAAGAGTGTTGAACCTATTTCCAGACAAGTTGGGAAGTGCAGTATATTGGAAGCTTTGCAGACGCGCCAGATTCCAGCCGTCATTGCTGACCTTCTCTTCGACGAAAGCCAATGCTGGGCAGAAGGACACGGTAGAATCATAAACGGCAATAACCTGCTGCTCTGCTGTGGTAATGATGAAGTCAAGTAAACGTAGTAAAAGGAAACAAAAACTGAAGGTCGATTATGGCGGCGCCCGTGCACAGCTGATGCAAAGCGTCTATAGAAAATCTGTCGCAAAATATTCATGATAACTTCTTAAAACTCTCCTCTCTGTTGACGTCCACGGGCTTTGGGCGGACGCGGCCGTCCTTGTTCCGTGTTTTCGCGGCTCGCGTAGCGATGAGGATGTGGAGAGGAGTTTGGAGCGACGCGAGGGGCGGGACCGCTCTCACATCAATGCACGCGCTGGCTGCTCAAAGGAGGAAGACAACAATACGCGCGCACGAGAAACCAAAATAAAAATAATAAAATCATTCTTTGTCTTGGCAGAATGCGCGCTCTGTTTGGGCTGTGCCCCAGAGAAATTGTTGCAACGCCCTGTCCTGGCTTGGCTTGGTTCTTGTCTCGGGGGTTGGGTCGACTTTCGTTGACTCGAATTTTTTCTTTGAGGAGCGGTTTCTTTTGGTTTGCTTTGTTTCGAGAAAAAAATGGGGGGAAGGGGATTGAAACTGAAATAGGTATTCAAATTTTGAAACCGCGCAGTTGCTATGAGTGACAGATGGGCTAACCCCGTCCTAACAAAGCTTAGAGCAGGTGGAGCGAAATCTCAAGTTAGAGAACCCAGGTATCCTGGTTTCAATCTCAACCCCTGCCCTCTTCCATCTGCGTGCGGTCGTGTATTACTATTGCTGCGTGATGCATGTTAAAGACCCCAGTCTAGCAGCAGTACTGCACTAACTAAATTTCTCATCTGAACTGAGTCACTTGACGCCCATTGGAACTGAACACGTTCCCGTTGTCGAAACGTACACAGAAAACAATTATAATATTAAACCCTGTTCCGAACAATTTTCAATCCCACCCTAAGTAGCAAGTTTAAAAAATAATATTTTATTTTACATTGCATTATCATCTTATCGCCGGGCAGTCTCTATGTTTCTTTTGATGTTATTCTTCTTCTTTGTTGTTTGAGAATTTTTCCCATTATTTTGTTTTGCTATGTAAGCCTGCTGGATATTTCTGAACGTCACAACGCTTAAAAATATATTTAAAAAAAATTGATGGTGGAGGCAAATTTGTAGAAACCGCAGAGGTGATTATCTTTGAATGCGATAGCATTAATCATTGCACACACGGGCAGATGTTCGGTTCCCCGCTAAATTTAGCGGGGAACCTGAATTGGTGCATAAATCACGTGACGTAAATTTTCCGCTAAATTTAGCGGTCAACCGGATTCCGCAAGATTTAGCGGGGAAGCTGAATTGGTGCCTATGTCACGTGAAGTCAATTTTCCGCTAAATTTTCAGAAAATTGACTACATTGGGGAGGCGACATACATAGGCGGAAATCTGCGGTGAGGAGATGAATAATGCTATCACATTAAAGTAAAAGACTCGAGAAGTAAATTCAGAAACCAAAGGCAAAGCGACGAATGCAATCGATGGCAGTGACGTCCTATAGTCTTTATGTCTACAATGCCTAACACGCACAGAAAAAGTGCAAAATCAGGAGTCTAGGAAAAGGGGGAAGGTGCTCGTGAGCGGTGGTTTATCCAACATTACAGATAGTCAAGGCTGAAGGAAATTGACTTGAGCTGACTTGAGGACCATTCTCTAGCGGTTATTTCATTTTGTTCGTGGTTCTGTTCATTTATTTAATAGAAACAGCGGGCGTTTGATTATACCTCTTTAAGTAATGCGTTCAAAACAATAAATATCAGCAAAGAGAAAATAATAAGCACACTTCAACTTCAATGTTCTTTTAACAGTCAGAAGAAAAAAAGTATATGAAGACATCAGGGAACTACGTAATTAAGCTGTCAACATAAGCATTCTTCTGCCGGTCAATTACATTACAAGACCTGCGTCACGTCTTAAAACCGCGTAAAGATATTCAAAGCGTGAGGGCAGTTTTCGAGAAGCGTGATTGATAGAGATTTTGTCGAACTCATTGGGGAAATAGTAGATTAATTCCACTTTGACATAGGTTTTATTTATATCGTCTTTAGCGTTGCAATAATCCTTTGGTGAACAGTCATGGTGCTCTTTTGAGCACCTACTCGTGACAATTCGAACTGTGCGTGTAGAAAATCCTGTCTCTATTATTAACGGCAATCTGCGTTTAACAATAGCTCTCAAGGGAATAGTTGCAAGCCAACTTAAAACGGCACCGTAAAAAAAATGCCGTTTTTTTTAGTTATTAATAGTGCTTAGTACTATCTCAAGCACCAAGACTTAAGAATGTGAGCGTAAAGTTCGAGGTTCGTAAATTTGAAAGTTTTTCAAATCATGCCCAGCGTTTATGGGGCTTATTGCTTCAATCCTGAAGAGCTTTTTCTACCATAGATAAACCAATTAGTTGGCAGTGGTGTTCTACCGTTGATACCTTTATGAGAAATGGAAGGGAAAGTAACTTTCACAACCCCGTATCGCTTTCACGCTACCGAGGAGCAAGTAACAGAAACTGCTCGAGCCCATAACAAGATTTTTCTTTTTGTAGGTGATTGGACATATTTGTTTCTAAACATATTCGCTTGTTCACCAATATTTTACCGTCTTTAAAGTTGTATATTGGGCATGTCAGTGTTCAGCATTTGTTCCATGTTCGTCTTATCTCAGGGAAAACAAAGCAAAGACCAGTGAGACTTCTTCACAAAGCTTGCTTCGGCGTCTTAACAAAGATTCACAAAATTGGCGAAGTTTTTGTTCATTAAACACAAAACCAAAAACAAACCAACACAAGACTGGGAAGAGTCATCCAAGACGTCAGTACCGCATAAATATAAGAGACTGCCAAACTATATAAGGAACTTTAATTTTAAGTACTAATAATTTGAACGCTGAATATGTGTTTTTACTTTAGTCACTGCCGCCATAATTTGTTTGTGTGTGTGTGTGTTTTTTTTAATTTTAGTTCATGGGTGTGGTCGTGTTGGGATACGTGCTCTGGGTTCTTGCGACGACGGACAACAGAAGGTTCCTCGAGGGCATTCTGGTAAGCCCTTCTCGGAAACATATCTCATATAAACGCGGGTATTCCAATCTTTCTTCTCACTTTACATGAGGTAACCTAGTATTAGCGTTTAAACGAGCTATTGTATGGTGATTAGGATAAAATATACGTTCTTAACGATCAAGCAAGTGCGGGAGCATTGTTTTTTGTCATTGGCGAGTTTGAAGGTCATCCGGTTGAAATCGTGCGCTGCTGACTTTGTACGAACAAAACAGAGAAAACTGTTAATTCGTAAGTTTGAATTCATTCACTTATGATGAAATTTCAAGGGTAAGGTTGCAAACTTTCAGCAAGTCACAATGCCCATCGAACTAGTTAAATGCAGTAAGACAGGAGAATTTGCCAACATTAAACTTTTGCTCACCTCGTGTGTGTGTGTGTGCGTGTGTGTGTGTTTAAAATAAAGAAAGTAAAAACCAACCCTTTCCTCTTATAACAAAAATATATGGTTGCATTAAACCTCACTTTTATGATAATTCAAGAGCATAAAATATTTTTTTCAACTTTGCTGAAGTTGCAAGAAATGAAGTCTATCAGCTGCTATCTGCGTGAAAGGAAGTTCATCTTCTCTGGTTTGTTTATTTATTTCAGATTTTCACATATGTTCACCTAGGCGTCGGGAGCGTCTGGTTCATCACAGGTAACGATTTCTCCTAATTCTCAACTTCGTCATGAAAATACAACTTTTTCGAGATGTGGTTCAGCAGTTGATGTACGTTGATGACGGCCTACTGCTACTGCTCATGCAGTTATGTGCTCTAAAAGGACGTCACAGGATGAGAAGCCAATAAAACAGGCCACATAAGTATACCCTCTGCAGTGACGCCCTCCTTAAAGATACAAAGTTGATAGAAACTTTTTTGGCGATAGTATAAATTAGAGATGTCGTGAACTTTTTTTTAGAGGCTTGATGTTCGACTGGTTTCGCGAACCTTCGAGCTTTTGGTAAAATTTGACGAGGTCCGACTCTCGAACACAATGTTGCGCTACTTCCGAACTAAAATAAATAAATAAATAAATAAATAAAGTTATCGCGAGAAAAAAAATAATTTGTGTGGTAGCTTGTTTTATAAAGTTTTACGCAATATACACCCAAACGAAAAGCGAACAGTTAATAAAGCCGGGGGCACTTTTTTGCATTAAAAAAGTTTTGCAAAATTGCAGAAAGTTTTGTTAAAACCATCTTAAATTACGCGAGTTCGGTGTGGTGTCCTTTCACTAAGGATGGAATTAACAAAGTAGAGCGTATTCATAAGCTAGCCACTCGGTTTATTTTCAACGCTTATAGTACGAGATCATCATCCACCGAATTAGTAAAAAGAAAGCCCAGCTGCCGACTTCATAAACCCACGCTATAATTGACGCATTGAAAACTCTTTACAAAATCATAAACGACTCCCTTCATATACTATAGATACAGTCATGTCTCGTTAATATGGATACCCCGCTATATGGACACCACTTTCGGGTACAAACTGGGAAAATACATGCATTTTTGTCTTGTTATTATGGATAACTCGCATTACGGACGATTTTTTACGGGAACGGAGGTGCCCATATCGACGAGACATCACTGTAGCTCCAATTAAACCTACACAGTCCAGGTCCTCACGAATAAATCATTGCCCAGCATTTAGACTATACAAATTTAAAAATGACTGCTTTAGATATTTTTTCTTCCCTCGGCCAATTCAAGAATAGAATAACTAATGACATTGTGACTTTGACGACCTTTGATCACTTTGTAGATGATATTAATTTGCACTTTAGCTAATTCTATTGTTTGTGCGCCACTGCTTGAATGAAGCCCTGGTAGCATTTCCAAAAAAAAAAATACAAACTTGTAAAAATTTGTTAGTTATGTTAACGGGCAGCAGTACACCCGATAAATGTTACACCCCTTCTTCACTAGGTGGAATCTGATTGTTTTCAGTATCCACGCACGCGCATCATGGTCGAATCTCCCCTGACCTTTGGTCGCACTTTGCAATGGTCGAAGTTCGCAAAAGTTGAACTGGGATTTCGGCAGATTCGTGACATCCCTAGTTCAAAGATACACAGACAGGGTATTTATGCTCGCCAAGGTTTTTATTTGTACAGGGCATATGAGAGCCCAACTACCCACAAAACAATTCACCGCTCAAAATTCGTTTTCTTCCTGCCCGAAAACCGCCGATCGAGAACTGGCCGGTTTGAGTCGCGCTCGCTCTCTTCTCCGTTGTCACGCGCCGTTTTCTATAATTTAAACACAATCACCAAATATAATCAAAGTCGTGGGTCATCCAAGGCACACACACAATATTAAAAATATAAAAGAAATATGATACTAATTTTTGTGGCTTTGAAAAAACTGAAAATACGTTAATTAAAAAAAAAAAAAAGGTGCACAACCACGTGACATCCACCAACTCTCTCCTCCTTTATATTTCTACTTCCGCCCCAGTCCAGTTGTGGTTTCGGTTTCGAACAGTTGCGTCTTTTGACTTTATTAAAAATATACGTGACGTTCTAGCAAAATATTGATTGGGCAGTCTTTTGACACCATATTGAATTGCCTGATAAGAAATAAGTTCTTTTTAGGGGTATCAGTGTTTTGTTTTGTTTTGTTTGTTAATGTACAGGTGGCGAAAGAGATAACTAGGGCGCAGTTCTCTTAAACGCATGAGCTTTGAGAAGTGCTTCGGTCGCACGTATAACGGTGGAGGTGCATGTTGCGGGTCACACTTCCAGCTGCTGAAACCCGCTTCCAGAACAATCACTTTACTCTCAGTCAATTTAAGACAAATGTAAGAATAATGCAAATATTTTGTTTTCTTGGTATTTTGTTTTGTTAAAAAAAGTAAAATATTCCTAAAAAAATGCTGATAAATTAAAATGCCCTAGGCTTCCTGAATATTTCCTTAAAACACGATAAGCCCTAGACAAGCTTGGAGTTGCCCTTTAAGTCATTTTAACAAGAACTTAAATGTCCCTTTAGATGTGTCGATGTACACTATAAATACATATCAACGTCGATAAGCTTCCCCATCGTGACAGCAAGCGTTTTCCCCATCGTGACAGCAACTACACGCATAATTCTCTCTTCCAAAAGGGATGTGTGGTTGGATCGGCTCTTACAAGAAGGGCGGGCTGGGAATGAAAATGGTGAGTGCAACTCTCCTGTGACCTGTCTTACCACTGAGCTTCGATTGTGAGTTTTACGATGACAATCACTTTTTTTAACTGTTTCTTTAGTTCCTTTCTCTAGCTGTACTCATGGTGGCAGCAGAGATCGGCGGCATCGTAGCCCTCAGCATCCTCAAAATCAAGGTAATCCGACACCTTGTCGTCTTCACGTTCAAGCGAAATAATTTTACAATTACGTTTTGTTTGTTACTATTTTACATTTTGACTATGAGGTAATTCTTTTGTACTTAGATTACGCAGCGGGTGGAGATCATTCATCCGCGATGCTGAAATTGAACACGTGGATCAACTACAGTTCGCAAGAGCTACGCGTTTCAAGGCTTTGATCCAACGTCTGTAGCCTTCGCTGTATTTCAAGATGGGACAATACGGCCCCAAGCTTCGACCTCCATCGCGGCACGCGTGACGATCGAGTCACTAAGCAGTTTAGAATACGCAAATTTCGCGTCATCTCATGTGTTAAAAATACTATATATCACGCCACGTGATGCACTATTAAATTCTTTGATGTAAGAAAAAGGTGACAAACACTATTGGGGTCCAATCGAAATAATGAAGCGAGCAAGCTTACATCCCGAGACAAATCAAATGGAAACTATAAATTGGTGCATTGAAGTAGCATAGTATATTCTCACGTCAAGAATAAATTTATTGTTAACTGATTTTTTGAACATACATTTATTTGGAGTTTGTTAAATTAAATTGTATTTAAAAGCTTTTTTTTTTTTTTTTTTTTTCGAAGATGGTGGACATCTTGAAGTCAGGATGGGTTGAAGTCAACGAGCCCACGAAGAATTTTATTCAAGATAAGGTAGGTTGGGATTTGCTTCTCGCGAGTCTCGGGTTTGTTTCTCGTAACAAGAAACAACTACTGGTTCAGTCCAAAAGGTGCATGCTCCACGAGGTCCTTGGAAGACCATGACGGAGTGGCACCGTGCTATTTTTCCCAACACTCGCCGCGTCACCGGCCTTCGTTCGCTTATTCAGCGATGGACCTTTTTTACAGTAACGAGCTCCGCCTGCCGAGTTGTCTTCGAACTACAAAGGAAGGGCAGCCCAACTTGCCTCCGCCCGTCACAATACATTGCCATCGTGCTGTTGTGTTCATCTTTGTTGTCTTTTATGCCCCTAATAGCGCGCAGTTTGGCCTAAGTTGCTCTTGCGCCATAAAACCCCCAATGCCTCTAATAGCATATATTCAAACATGAATCGCCAGAAAATACGAAATATGCGCAAAGATGGGTGCTGAATATGTTGGTCGACCGGAACTTTGCTCTGCGAAAATGGCGACAGCGGGATGCAAGGCCAGGGGAGGTGGTCTGCGCAGAAGCTTACAAGAAAAAGGTCCATTATTGGTATATGTAAGAAACGCGAAGCCTCGACTGTCTCAAGAGGCTTCCGGTGCAATGACCTCTTTGAAAAAGGCTATTGAGTTTTAATTAAGGGTATGTGAAGGGTGGTTCAAATCGGAGAGCGCTTCGTTAGTAATATTCTTGGTAGCGCAAGGGAAAGCCAAGCCAAGTCATAGTCACTGTTTCTACCTTGTTTAAGCTGGGGATGACGCTGCACTATTGGATTCGGTGGTATATTCGCAAGCCCATATTTCTAATAGTCGCTGACGACCGAAGAACGACGCAGCGTGGAAAGGCCCTATGACTTGACGTCATCGAAACGGCCACTTGTGGTCACATCGGAAATATAAGACCGTAACTTTCCAGGCGTACTAAGTTTTGAGGGCTCAAATAACTCCCCGATCACTCACCTGTACGTCGAACACCGTTGTATGGTGATGTGGTTTGCAATACGATTGTTTGACGCCGTAAAATATTTAAAGCACGTAAATAAAAAAAAACATTTGTTTTTACAGTCAAACAATTAAACTCGAGTTAGATGCAGTCAGGTGTAAACGCAATGACATCTCGCTTTTTAATTAACTTCGAGGCAGGTTCTTGGGCAAGCATTCCTCACGCTGTCTCAGGTAGGGCTACCTGCTTGGCAGGCTGAACGCAGCTCCCATTGGTATACCGGTGCACCCATACTATACCTGTCCAATGTATGCGCAATTGTTGATTGCTGTAGGTTCCGTGTTCCAAGTCGCTCGGTAGTCAATTGAGTGATTCTATAAAGAACGAAGTGATACTCGAAACATCGTTAACCTTTCTTCGCATATGTTTATTTTTTCTCTTCAGTTGGATTGCTGTGGCTTCAGCGGGCCCAAGGAGTTCGCCGCCACCAACAGCCTCATTGACGAGACGTGCTACAGGCTCGTGGGCGAGACAGAGGACGTTTCCATCAAGGAGATTCGTCGGATAAAAAGGGTGCGTCAAGTTGACCATTGAGCGAGAGTACGCTCCTGTCGAGCTACGGATCTTTCCTTCAGTAAGCCTCTGCTCATTCGTACGCCCTTATCCCTCCGCGCGTGCTTCATCTTTTTACAGTGGAGCTGTTAAGGGCTGGTTTTCCCAGTTTCGTGTCCGGTACCAAACAAATGTCGACACAAAACTACACAAAACTCTTAAGAGCTACCGCCATCTATGAGGGACGGCGGCAACCAGACAACCAGTCTGATTGCCGGCGTCGCCCTATAGATGGTGGCAACCTTTCCAGCTATCATAGAAGAATGGATGGTTGGGCGAGTTGTTGGAATTCATCGTAGGAAACAGCGCGCAAAACAGACGAGGACAAAGAAGAAACACACGGGACGAGCGTACAGCTTCGCTGGTCTTCCTTCTTCACCAAAGTAAAAAAACTGAAAGGTTTTTTTTTTTTTTGGGGGGGGGGGGGGGCGGGCGGGGGGGGGGGGGGAGGGGGGTTTAACGCGAATTGTTCTTTGGGTTGCCTTGGATTTCGGGAACCCGCATGTCGTGAAGCCGTGGCCTGTTACGTTCCATAATGCAACGCGCGTAGTATTGCATTATGGAACGTCACGGACCTACACACAAATTAGTTTCTCCGCTAAATTTAGCGGAGAAGTTTAATTGGTTTAGAAGTCACGTAACGTCCCAGAATGCAACGCGCGCAGTGTTGCGTTATAGGACGTCACGGACCTACACACTAAATTCAATTTCTCCACTAAATTTAGTGGGGAAGTCGAATTGCCGTGTAGGTCACGTGACATCAGGTCATATGACGTCAATTTCCCCGCTAAATTTAGCGAAAAAATTTATGTCCTGTGACCTACACACCAATTCAATTTTTCCGCTCAATCTAGCGGAGAAATTGACATCACGTTGCCTGATGCCACGTGATGCTGCGACAATTTTCCATGCAATTTTCGAGGATTATTTCTTGCGCATATTTAGTGTCGGGCATAAAAGGCGATAAAAACCGACGACGACGGCACGATGCCAATGTGTTTTGACGGTGGAAGGAACGTTGGGCTGCCCTTCATTTGTGACGTGCGCAAAAAACACTCGTTACTGAAAAAAAAAGAAAAAAAAAGAAAGAGAGAATGCGGCATTAGCTGATAATACACTCTGAGAAATAAAGGGTGTAGTACTCACACCCTTTGTCCGATATATAACGCCCAAAAAACTACAATTCGACGTTGAGTACGTCGAACCGGCGATACCAACTTTCACGAGCGGATGTGATAATCGATTGATACAACTTACTAAAATAGCTAATGCACGCATTAAAGACTGCAGGAAAACACTTAAGGTATTGTTGGCCCTGCTGCAAAACCTCAGTGCATTTTTTTTCTTCTCTGTAGTCTTTGATACGTACATCAACTATTTAGTAAGTTATATCACCCAACTATCAAGCCGTTCGTCATAGTTGGTATCTTCAGTTCGACGTCAGGGAACTGAACGTCGAAATGTAATTTTAGAGTGTTATATATAGGACAAGAGGTGTAAATACTACACCCTCTACCTCTGAGAGTGTAACGCTGAAGAGCAAATCAGAAGAAAAGAAGCGTAAACACGTAAAACAACGCCCTGCATTTCTTACGCTGTTAAGCTTAAGCTGAAAGGGCGCAAGGGGGTGAATGTCCCAAAATGTTGTGGATGCGGCGCCTGATATGTTTCTGTGTCTTTCCGTTGCCCTTTCCATTGCCCCAATAACCGAAGAACCGCGGCGAGGACAAACGTCCGGGATCACCTCTCTGTATTTCGCTCACCATCTTTCAATCTAAGCACCGAACACTATCTCCACAACCACCGAATTCCACACTCGACAGAAAACTCTTCTCGGACCTATACGCTCACCGAACCATAGCCAAAGAATGTACAAACACTCCGCCCATGCACGCTCTTCGCACCTGTCAGTCAGTCCTCCAGAAGAACCCTCTTTTCTATGTTGTTGGTGTTTTTTTCACTTTTCCTCCAATGACCGTTAACACGCTCCAAATGTGTGGCTAGAAGGATACCGTACCCGACCGACTCGTCGCCGTTTCGCTTCGGCGAACACCTTTATTTGCCGCAGCGTCGTGGCTTCCTTCGTGTCTTGCCGCGGGCTCGGACGACTGGCCATGGTAGACTAAGGTCATCGGACGACTGCTTTGGTCTTCGAAATGACGTCGGATCCATCATCGTCAACCGCTCCGCGCATGCGCGCAGGGGCGTCGATACTGTTCTAAGCAGACGTGGCCACGATACGTTCGTTTTGTAACGGACAATAATCGGAGTCATACATCATGAGTAATTGGTCGTAAGCCGTGGCAACTATGGAAAGGGAGGGTCGTCTGAGGTATAAATACGCATGTAGTGCAAAGCTTGAGGTATCTGGACTGTCCATAAACATTTCTAAACCTTTCAAAGGGTCGCGTACAGATTTGGTTTCTTTGCTTGGCAATTAACATATCTGTCCCGCAGTGGTAGTGTCTGTCCTAAACACCAGAAACATATTAGGTCAGCTGGGTTGCTTGCATGGCATGGGAGCGATCAAATTTAAGTTCAGAGCGGAAGTGAATCGCCGATCTACAAGAGAGTAAGGGAAGAAGCGAACCTAGCAGAATTGACGTCATCGGCTGTGTGACCGTTTCTCTAAGCCATTATATTTTCTCGCCTTTCAGCGGACTCGGAGTTGCCAACAATTTTGTCATTACGGCTATGATAAATAACAGGCGGCAAACGTTTTGCTCTGCACTTTTTTTTTTTTTTTGCTTCTTTTTTAGTAAAAGCGTTTTGCGTAAAACCCTGTTCCATTTCAGTGCCATAGCCGAATTCAGGAGACAAAAAGCTAAAAATAGATCGCTGCTAACTCTTTTTTTTAAGTACTTCAGCTCCCTTTAATTAAGGGGATGTTTCGACTTTGCTGCACATCTGCAATTACAGGCTTGTCATGCCTTTTTCTTAAAACTGTTTTTTTCGAACAGTCTTGAGATGTTTGTTAGCTTTGCTGTGTTTTATTTTTATTTTTTTTTAATTATAGAGCTAACACAACAAATGTTTTAAATTAAACGCGTTTCGTGAGGGCCAGTAATTCCTCGAAACCATCCGAGCCGGCAGCGTTCCTGCCTTCCACTGCAAGAAGTAGGGTTCGATTTCTGGCAATGGTTACTATTTGTACAATCGAAAAAAAAAAAAAAAAAAAACTGCTCGTAAAAGAATGCTTACGGCTTCTTTGACTTGTTCATATTTTGCACCCTAAAAAGTTATGCTAAGCACCCTCTAAAAGGGTTCTTTATGAAAAACCTATTAAAAATTCTTTACAGGCTCTTTTTTTTTTTTTTTTTTTTTTTTTTTTGCGAAAGAGGTTTTTATTTCCCAGTTGCCTTTCTAGTGCCCCAGGGGGCAATAGTGCTTGAGGTCTAACTGTTCTTCAAAAGCTGAAAAAGTTCTTGAGGCTTCAAAAAACCTCTCAAAAACAGCTTTTTTTTTTTTTTTTTTTTTTTTTTAGAATTTAGAGTTTAGAGTTTAGAGTTTACACTTGTTTGATGTTCTGGAGTATTCCAGCTTTGTCGAGACAGTCGCGGTGTTCGCTGGCGCACAGCGTTCTTAATCTCGAATAGCGAGAACGGATAAGAGAAAACGTAGGTGCTTACTTCTGTCGCGTAAAATATGCCATTTCGTGATGCCTTACAGGCGGGCTGCAAGCAAAAGCTCGTGGATTTTTTCTACAACCACAAGATCATCTGGATATCATCGCTCGGTGTCCTGCTTTTGTTACAAGTACGTATAGTGCTCGTGTAATCTATGGCGCTGTTTCGATGTACTGATTTTGGTAGACGACCCCGAATGGGAAACTATAGTTTCGCTGGCTCGTATTTTGGCAGCTCGATGTTGTCATCAACGGCTTAACTGAAGTAAATTAGCTCTATAAAACTTTTCCTAAAATTGATCTGAACGGCGTTTCCTTCTCCAGTACCTTGCGTTATCACAGTTTAAAAAAAAAAAAAAAAGGTTACTCGAAAAACATCACATCAAATAACCCTTAAATAAATGAAATTATGGACTGTGTAGGACAAAGCTGACGACTGCGCACTTCAGCTCTCGCAATAATAATTTTAATTTAAAATACCGGGATTCTTCTCCAGCAAACTCAACCGTGGCATCCAGGAGCGGAGTTCTGGTGCCTCGAAATAAATGTTACAATAACCTGAAGGTTTGTGCTTGACTCGCCTCACACCTTCATACGCCTCTCATTACGCGGATATTGTGCAAACACGCTCGTAAAAGACGTACATTTATGGCCACACCAATTTCTCGGAATGGTGGCGGAGGCTGTGTAAGTAGCTCCGAAAAGGATTTCACTTCAGCTCCCGGTATATGTGGCTTGTTTGGGGAAAACTTAGAGGGTGCTGTTGTTCTCTAAGCTGAAGAACACAAAATGTGGGGTAAATTTGTTTTGCATTGCTTGTTACGTTTTTACCTATTATCTCTGTTCAAATTTTATTATTAAAAACAGCGGGAAGCGTTGCACATCTAAAGTTGGGGAAACAAGTCAATTGGTGTCTAACTGAACACCAATTCAGTTTCACCGCTAAATTTATCGGGAAAATTGAAATGCGAGACGTCCAGGCATCATATAAGTCGGTAAGAGACTAAGAGTGAAGCGGAGGCTCCTCCCCCCTCTATCCACTTTAGTAGAGCGAACGCTGGAGAGGAGGCGACCTCCTCTCCAGCCTTTGCTCTGCTAAAGTGGAAAGGGGTGGGAAGAGCTTCCACTCTACTCTTAACCTGTCGCCGAACCATCGACGCGCTCCCTTTCCCTTTTTCCCCTTTTTTTCTCGCATAATAGACGTGTCTTACCACTATTTCTACTATCGGGGGAATTAGTTATTACACTTTTGCGTTACCATTTGCACCTTTTTTTAAATGTAAGCTCCAGTTCTAAAAACACTCTGTGTAAAAGAAAGAAAAGCAACACAAGAAAAACTACGTTTGTGTTTTCGGCCACATCGTGTATCCCCACACCAGATCACGTGTACCGGTTCTCAAGTTACATAACGAAGTTCGTCCCGAACCACCGCAGGTCACAGCGATACTCCTCTCGGTGTACCTGATCAACGCCAAGAAGCGAGAGCAGCGGGAGAACTCCTTCACGTCGCTCACCCACCGCTCCTACACGACGGGCTACTGACAACCCACTGCGCCTGCGCAAGAGGAACCTCTTGCGTGGCTCTGAAGTGTCCGTACGCACCGTTGCGAAGACTCGGGACAACCGCGGAACTGTGGGTGCTGCATCAGCAGACCACAGTCAAAGTGACCCCGCCCGAAACACCCTGTGGACGTGTAGTGAGTCTTGTGCTGTTCGGTCAAAACGTCTTCGTCTTTGGCTGCGGCGGTGGCCGAGTTCAAGTTGGAGTGCTGCAGCAGTTTGACGACATCTGGGTTGATATGGCGTTTCGTCAGAATGAGGGTTGATATGACGTTTCGTCAGCATGAGCAAGCAGAATACGTAGACATTCTCTTTACAGGTTGGTAGAAGAAACAGAGTCGAGTGTCGCTTGCTTTTCGCTTGAAAGGTCGACTGAAGGTAAGCGGGATAATAAGCCGTGTTCAAGTCGAAGTGTTTCACTCATTGGACGCGGTTATAGTTGAGGCCACATTGCCACGGCAAGCATAACCAAAACAACTACGTATTCTACGCGTGTTATGCTGCGGAAACGAAGTGTGTGAACGACTTTGTAAAGAACATGTCAAAGTAGTCACCGTCTGCTAGAGACTCCGCCTCAGCCAATGTAAGAATCTTTCCGACTTTTTTTTGATGGGATTAACAAATGAGCAATGTTTCTATTGAAAACTAGTGCTCTCGTTGATCTTTATGTAATACAATCAATCTACATCGCTGTAACAAACACAAGCGTAGCTTCAGGAGTGGGGTATACTCGAGAGCAGAATGACTGGTCAAGTATGGATTCGTAGTCAGCGAACCTCAACTCTTCTACCCTCATGTATTCATAGTGAACATAGAAGAGAGAGAAAATCGCTAGTTACGTCACGTGGACTATTCTTTAAGCGTTTCCATCAAAGCAACCTTGCCTTTTGAATAGAGAACAAGTCTGACATGTACACTCCTCTGAGCTATTGCTCAGAGCTAAAGAACGTTCATTAAACGAACTCAAAAGCAAAAGCAAGGATGCAGACAAGCTGGTTTAAAAGGAACAATTTAATCCTAGATAGCAGGGACCTAAAGGGACAGTGCAAAACAAACCTCACTGGGGTTGTAAGTCCGAGGGACTTTGCAACGGCACACATCGACGGAACAGGCAGGGCGTTCCCTTGACCTATCGCCCAAACGTCACGTGTGCAGAATGCGTTTGCGATGTGCACAGAAGTGTGACGTCACCGTGACGTCACCGTGACGTCACGTGACGCTCTGCCACGTCCTGCTGGACTTGGCTGGACGCTAGCCCGTTTTAAATTCCAAATAGGAGAGAGAAGTCTTTGCTCTTGGAATTGCATCCACAGCCCGAGCTACCGCATGATCACCGCCAGCCCTAGGCTGGAGTCGTAAAACGTACGCAGGAAAGAGGTGGACGGCACGAAAGTCTGCATTTTGAGGCTTTTGTCTTAACCACCTCGTTCCACGTTGCACTTTTTTTTTCTGCTCTTGGAGTTATATTGCGCCTAAGTTTCACCAGCTCGCAATCGCGTCTTATCATTGCGTTGCAAACTTCCACTCAGGATTGATTTGTCCAGGCCTTTGTGTTGACGCCCGTAGCCCTCTGCAGCAGCGTCTTAGCAAAGAGCACGATTCATCCCTCGATGGCAACGCACGTGGCGCTTGAACTTGATGCCACTGGAAAAGTGCGAGGGAAATGACTAGTCACCCAATCAATAACGACATCTCAGCGAGAGCATGATTGTTGCTGGTATGTCTGTGTGTGTGTGTCTTTCTCAGTACGTTCGCAATACTCGATACCTGTGCTCCTCGTTGTGCTCAGCCATAATCGCCTAGACAGCAAGGCCGTCGTGCCGAGTGTTACATACGTCAGCTTCTAAAGACCCGCGCGGGCAAAGGTTCAATAAAACGCAGTGCGTAACGGGTGACGAGCATCGCTACACATCCAGCGAAATTGCGTAATTGGCCAATGAAAACGGCGACGATGTCGTCAAAGAGTCCACTCCCTGATAGCCATAATGTTGGCTTAGCAAACAAGGCTTCTTTTCTTCCTTTCTTTGTTTCTCCTTCAAGCTATTTTCCACGCTCTTTCATGTTCCTCAAAGCACGACAGGTTGTTTCATTCGTGTATAGTATGCAGTGTGAATGCCTCGGGACTGCTTAGCACGGTTACCGTCAATACCAAAGTACACAAGTTTCTTGCGTGTAACGTGTTTGTCCTAATCGAAGCTCTCGTGCGTTTAAGAGTATTATTATCACGCTGAAAGGTTCGCATGAGCATTTGTGTTTAAATTCATGACAAACCAAAGAGCCGCTTGCGTACTCACGTGCCTTCTTCTACGTCATGAAACTTGTTCTTGACTCCGACTGATCGGCACATGAGAACGCTTCCGGTGGTTGTAAGCGATGACTCTGTCTTCTCTTGCGTATTGTAACATGTTTCGAAGAAACAAAGTATTGTGTCGTTAAGTACAATACCTTTGACATGTGCGCTTACAAATTCTATATAGTGTAAATGTTAAAAGCGTTTTTCTTTTTTTTTTTCTTTTTTTGTAATGTGCGAAAGGTTGCAACTGTTATATATGCTTAACTTGTTCGAAGCGTGATATGCTCATTCTATACAAATCTCGTTCCTCGGGTTTTGGGGAGAGAAAACCCTTTCACTGCGTCTTTCGAATAGGCTGTTTCATGAACATGATATATAGTATATGCATGCCGGGTGTAATCTCCTAAGTTTAAGTGTCTGGTGTCACTGGTTGTTTATGGATGGCAGAGGCAGAAATGTGTTTACTATGTATAACTTCCAGGCCTTTTTTTTTCGCTTATACATTCAACGTTTTGTGATAGACTAGAAAAGAGGAGTCTTTTACAGGATTTCATCCATTGACTTGCAAATAAAGCATATAAATTGCCTCTAGATGTACGCGTTTTTAAACATCCTCCAGAAAGCCTCTGTGACGGCACAATTGCTTCCGCTAGCCTTTGTGCCTGATTTCGGGACAACGAAGGCAAGCGCAGAAACTCTGCGCGTTTGTTAACTGCTAATAATTGTACTGCAAAAAAAAAAAAAAAATCGTGGTCTGCATTTTAGTATTTTTAAGTTCGCACATCTCTCGTGCTTAGAGCTTGCAGTATTGAGTACCAATGAAATGCGAGCAGCTGAGCTCGTGGCCCACGATACACATTGTGCCTAGAGGCAACTAGGAACTCATAAAATTACGAGGTGGAAAGTGGGCTGCGAAGGTGGGCGCTTACTCTTATGTGCATGCATACCCTCGTAGCCCTTATCAGTTCCTAGTTGCCTCTAGGTTGTGCAGCGTGTATCAAAGGCCACGCGCCCCGCTGTTCGCACTTCATTTGTACCCGACTGTAGATGCCTTAATTCATGCGAAGTTGCAAGCGATGCATTCGCTGAGTGATGTGTTGTTCGGTCGAATCGTTTCTTACTGTTCCTTAGTAAAAACATCATATTTTGTATGGTTAATTTTAAGTTATATTTTACTGCTGACGTCCCGCACATCCCTTCGCAAATTTTTCCTTTGCATCACCCAGTAGGGGTGGACTAGTCTATAACGAGCTTCACATATGAACTTAGAAGCGACAATAAGAACGGTCAGATGACGTCGGTGTACACAGGCGTGACGTCAAAACGTCTCTCAAGTCGTCACATCAAAACGCCCGCACATGATGAATGAAATAAAAAAAAATGGTGGCTATTTTAATATTTTTTTTTACCGAAAGTAAGTTTTATGCTTGACTGTGGCCGAGAAGAATATTAACCAGTTGATTTAAAAATAGTTTAATGTATCGTACGCTATGGCCGACATGTGTGAACCTGAGTATCCTTTAAATAAATAAATTAATTAAATACTTTTTTTTTGCGTACTACGTAAATTACCCTTGAGAGTGCATTGTCCGTGAGTGACAGTTCCATAAAGTCACGCAATTATTTCCCTAATTAAGGCGAACAATACAAGGTGTGGCACTTCGGTTGCGGGTGGCGTCAATGAGGCAATAACAGAAACAAACAATAATATAGTGGACTCGATATTGCGAATGTGAGCCATTAGATCTTTTATGCCCATAGACTTCGTCTATTCCCTGTAATATTGGCGATCCAGTGCGCATTTCAGGGGCAACAACTTTGAGCTACCAGTAAAAAGAAACGCTTGGTCACGAACCCCTCAATTGAAAAGCTAACGCGACAACTAAATTGAATCTTATAGAAAGCAAAGACCGAAAGAAAAAAGCTCACAGAAAAAAAAACAACAAAAAAACCTGCTGGGTTGTTTTTGCGATTCAAGCACGGTGAACTTCAACAATAGCATACACGCCTCAACTTCTCACGACATCTGGTGACATTTTTCTTGACTGACATGATGACATTTGGCTCGAAGCTCGTGCTCTTGATGCGTGACGAATGGCCTATAGCGTGTTAGCACACCGCACGTGATATTGAGTGAAAACATGGTTTTGATCCCCTGCCCCGCGGCCCGTTTCGATCTTAATCAGGAACGTACCAGCCTGTGGTCGTGTAGTCCGTCATGCAGATCTCAGGTTAGTAGACATACTGCACTTTCGAAATTTATCATCTACAACGTGTGACCACCGCCGCCACTATTCAGTGATAGGACGTCCTTTCGTTGACGCAACATTCAACGTGTAATTTGCTTTTTGGGAGATTTTTCTTCTTCTTGGCGTGTGCAGTGACACTACCCCGATTCTCTTGCTTTCAGTTTTATTCGCCTTTAAATGTGTATTAGATGTAAATCACTTCTTCAATTTCTTGTAAAATAAACTCTTCCTGTTTTTTTTTTTTTTTTTTTTTTTAATATAACGGTACTAATTCTTTGAGGGGAAAAAAAACAAAAAAAAACTGAAGACATTTATATGCCGGGTAATTCATAAAAACATTTTTATAAAAATTAACAGCTTAATTTTTCAATCTCGCCAAGAACAAGAAACAGCAAAACATCCAAATGTTGACGACTAAATTTCTAACATCTGTTTTGCGAAAAAGACGACGGTCGTCTTCGACTATAAGATAAATGGCTTTAATCCTGTAACGCAATATGAATATAGTAGAGAAGTAATTTCTACGAAGAGTAGGGACTAGGAAATACATATTGATTATAGTGTTTGTTAACAAAATAATCAATATGCAATTCCCCTAAAGATCTTAGCTAGTTGTACGTATAGTACAAAGTTTCTACGGCTACAGCTAAGATCAAATTATTACCTTGCCATTGCCTTTTATCAGTTTGAAAGGCGATTATGCTATTCTAGTTTAGAGTCCTGGCTAGGCACCAAACACCTATTCCTGGCACACCAAACGAGTGGTCTATTCAAAATCTAGCTTTTCGTTTCTTCATCTTTACTGGATGCTAGACTTTTATGAAGGTGTTGGCACGTTCAGTGCAATGCCTGCTACTCCATAGCCTTTCGTTGCAGTTTGAGAGAATGTCCCATTCTTTCGTGCGTAGTATAGGGAAGCTTTCAACTTCAAACCCAACCTTAGAATAATTTATTTTTGACTTCACTTCATTTTTTATGATCATCATCCCAAAACCAAGTTATTCTTACGTCAAACGAAATAATTTGCAGATCTTATTTTTCTACTTGGAACCTTCTTATCGCTACGCATCCAGCGAAATTGCGTCATTGGCCAATGAGAACCGCGATGAACGTCGCCGTTCTCATTGGCGACGATATTGTCAAAGGGTCCACTCCTTGATAGCCACGGTGTTAGATTAGCAAACAAGGCTTTCTTCCTTGCTTGCTTTGTTTCTCGTTCAAGCTATTTTCTACGTTCTCTCATGTTCCTCAAAGCATGACAGGTTGTTTCATTCGTGTATAGTATGCAGTGTGAATGCCTCGGGACTTCTTCGCAAGGTTACCGTCAATATCAATGTACACAAGTTTCTTGCGTGAAATGTGTTTGTCCTAATCGAAGCTCTCGTGCGTTTAAGAGTATTATTATCACGCTGAAAGGTTCGCATAGGTATTTGTGTTTGAATTCATGACAAACCGAAGATGCAGGTTGCGTACTCACGTGCCTTATTCTACGTTATGAAACTTGTTCGTGACTCCGACCGATTGGCACATGAGAACGCTTCCGGTGGTTATAAACGATGATGCTATCTTCTATTGCGTATTGTAACATGTTTCGAAGAAACAAAGTATTGTGTCGTTACGTGACAATACTTTTGACATATACGTTTACATATTCCATGTTGTGTAAATGTATATGTTGAAAGCGTGTTTTTTATTTTTTTATTTTTTATTTTTTTTTAATGAGCAAAAGGTTAAAACTGTTATGTATGCTTAACTTGTTTGAAGCGTGATATGCTCATTCCATACAAATCGTGTTTTTCGGGTTCTGGGGAGAGGAAACCTCTTCTATTTCTTGTTACTTTATTATTATATTGTGCAATCGAAAGCTTTGAGGTAAATGCAATAAATAAAAATCATAACAGGCACCAACGCCTTCTACTCCACTGATCTCAAAGAAGTCGGTCCAAGCGCTTAACCGTCAGACGTACGTCCCGAAACTTGAACACTTTGGCCAACCGACCATCTTCATGAGCTACCGCATTCCCCCAAACTTCGAATGTCGACTTCCCGAAACCGAAACCAAAAACGACGCGTGCTACGCGGGAGCGACGGCCGCATCATCTCTCCCCCCTCCCCCCCCCCTCTCCCCCTTTCCCCTAATCCTCCTTTCATTCGCCTCCTCAACTCCTTCCCCTCGAAAACGACTCCCCAATTCCGCGCAGCCGACTCCGCGAACCGTCCGGAACAAACTTCGTCGGGACCAGACATGCGCAGTCGCGTTCTCCCCAAAGCTTCCACGTCTGCTCGCGAAGCCAACGGTCGAAACAAAAATTCAGAAACGGGAGAAGGGAAAGAGGGAAAAGAAGAAGAAAAAAACTGTATATCGCGCAGCCCGTGGACCCGACCCGACCCTGAGCGCTCGAGACCGCCGGCAAATATTATTTTCCGACCGAACCTTCGGACCCGTAGGCCGGCTGTTGCTCGCTCGTACGAAGTAGCGGATCACCGAAGCGCGGTGTAGCAGCCTCCGCTGCGCCCAAAGCGACGGATTTGCGATCTCTCGCCAGCGGAGCGTGAGCCCGGATGGGGAGCGAGCCAGGACCGGATCTTCACGATTGCTGAAGCCACGGACTATGCAGGTTGGTGCGTGTCCTTTCGTCGAACATCATCCCCATCATCCCTTTCACAATCAACGGCTCCTGCTCTTCCCTACTTTAGAATCGTTTCTCGAATGTCGCCTCATTTATCTATCGCAAAGTCATGGCACCTGTGTTCGACGCAAAGCTTCAGTCTACGAGTGCTCTTCCATCTTTTTTTTTTCTTTCTTTTTTTATCTCTCGTAATTTCGCAAGCGCTCCCACCGGTAGTGGGGTACTCGTCGGACCGGGGTTGAAGGTTGAACCATAATGGCAGCCCATTTCCGTCGTTCGGACATCCTGAAAAGTAGCTGTTCGTTGTCTGATGACTGAAAGCTTCGAACGGTCGATGAAATGAGTCGGTCCACTAGCTGAGGCAACGTTGCTAACGTGGTCTTGAATGCGCCTTTCCCATATTCAAGGGTTTACGTTGTGGTTTCGTTCGCCGAACGCAGGAAGGCATCTAAGTCTTGTTTCGTCTACACACTGCTTACGGAAGGAGTTGAACCGTCATACGAGTCTTTTTTGCATCGTCGGCGGTTGCAAACATTTTGAACGAGAAGGTATTTGGCCAGCTGGTTGTGGACGTGCGAAGTAGCTGCACGAGTTTGAGCTGTGTGAGGAATAACTGGCGAGGTAACTTGTTGTGCTTTTAGAAGCGCCTTCTAACCCGTCAGCGGTGTCGTGAATCCGTAGGGCAGCGCATGTACTGGGGACTACACAGTTAGACATTTTAATGGCCGACCTTAGTCGTGTACAGTGGTGTCGCTATTTCATGGCCAGCTATAGCACATATTACATTTTCATTTACGATTGTAATGTCTAGGCATTTGAGTTCGGCGCTATTAAACTCATGACATGGAAAGAAAAAACAAAAACAAAAAAATTAGCTGTCTTGAGCCTGTATTTTTTTTTCGTCAGCATTAGGTTACTTTTTTAACCAAACACTGCAACAATTGACCAATGCTCGAGACAGTAAAGGCACACCCCAGTCGTCAAAGGAGAACAGTGAAGCCCACACGACATGAGCGACGAGGGAGCGATGGCGAACGCTTAACAAAAACATATGCCGGTATCTGAAAACCTGTCTTGAAATGCTCATAACTAAATCGTTTGTGCAACCCCACTAGACTCAGTGTTCGTGCGTGTGTGCAGTGTAAGCTCATGCAGCGCAAAAACTCGCCAGACATACTTATATTCGAACTGAACACTTGGCCGTCAATACAGGTGTTCGCATTCAAGCTCACGGAGCGTGTAAACGGTCCTGTGCATCCAGTTCTCACTTCGCTACACCATTTTCAAACTGTCTTGTCGATTGGCGAGGCTTTGATTTTCTTTCCTAGGCTACCGCGTTTTGCCTTTAACAAAGAGCACGTCTATTTCTTAATTTATCGACGCATGTATTCATGGCCAACTTTCTAGGGCATTCCGTGGGAATAAAAGTTTAAAGCAAATATCAAAATTCTAATTGATTTGCGTTTTATGCTACGCAGGCCATTACAGTCCACGGGAGCATCACAAAATTTGACCAGGAAAAGCAGAAATAGAAAATTTTGTGAACGTAGCTCGTGAATTTAATGCAAAATAACTTGTAGAGCCGTGGAACGAAAACTGTACGCGCCTTAAAGTTTAATTAATATTTATTGATATTTTATGGCAGCCATATAAAATATTCCCGGGCAACAGTGCGTTGTTTGTTGTTGTTCAGTTGAAATTCTTATCTTGGTGCCTGCGCTGAGGCGTCGATGTGCGAGATAGTTGGGGATGTGTTCCAGAAATGCCTTCCCTAGTGAAACATGTTATCTTTATATAAGAAATCTCTTGGTCCAATAAACACACGTGATCACGTAAGATTGTATAAGAACATGTAAGAATCATATAAGAGTATATAAGAAGTTATAACAAACTGATAATAAGTTCCTTTATGTTTTTGATCAGTTTTCTTATATAACATCTTATTTAATCTTATGCTGTTCTTATATGTTGTCATAAAGTTCTCATATTCTCTTATATGATCTTATCTGAGCATATGTGCTTACTTGACAAAACAATGTCTTATACATATAAGATTTTTCACTGGGGTTGTTTAGGTCGTGTGAATCCTTTGTGTATGGTTTCGCGACCTCTAGCAGGTGGAGGTCAGCTCCAGAAGAGACACTATTCTTGCGAGGAACAATTGTGACTGACAGTTTATAAGAAACGGAGGGCGTGTCCCATTCATTATGTTCACGCTTCTCGCTTTCTCATTGGTTCTTCGGCGTTCTTATCGGCAAACGCTGCAACCTGATTGGCTGCGTGGCAATAATGACATGACGGGACACGTTAAGCCTGCGTTTTTTAAGTTGTCGGTGACAGGAGAGTTGCACAAGATCTTGATCGAATTCTCAAACCCCTTCTCAATCTTCTTTCACTTTCAGACAATTTCGACGTCGACGCTTCTAGAAATCTGAAAGGTCTTCCAAACCTGCCTTAGCCACTTCTTACCAAAAAAATCACAACTGTCTTCCAAAACAGTGCTTCCATTAAGATAGGAAAGAGACGAGGAAAATACGGGAGAGAGAGACTTCGTTTCTAAGAGTGCTCCATCCCACAACTCTTCTGGCAAATCGTCCGGAAGGGGACACAGTCGAAGACCGCGGCTAGCGGTACACGTGGACCATCCAGCCTTCCAGGCAGTAGACACTGTTCAAGATGGCCGACCAGTTGCTCTACAGGCTGACGGGCTTCATTCAGAAGGCAAAGTCGTACATGCCCGGAGCATGCGGGGATGAAGATCCTGGTGAACAGACGCATTTCGCAAAGCACGGTCACTCGAGGGCGGACACGGAACTTTCCAACTTTCAGGTGAGCTTTTATGCGTGAGACGAAGTAACGCAATAATAATACAAGTGTAAAAAAAAAAGAATGAAAGCCGCTTGCAATTCCCTGTAACGCCGGATTAGGGCCCAGCTCTTGAGTAGGACGATGGAAGTGTACTGAGGGATAGGTGACTCCTTAAGGTCACGTCACCTCAGGGGAGGGTCGTCTGACGTCAGGGGGGTCACGTTCTTTGAGGGGGGTCACGTGACCTCAGGGAGGTCACGTGACTTCAAGGGGGTTGTGTGTTGTCAGGGGGCTCTCGTAACCTGGGGAGGTCACGTGACCTGAGGAAGGGTCATGTGACCTCAGGGGGGCACGTGACCTCGGGGTGGGGTCGCGTGACCTGAGGAAGGGACATGTGACCTCGGGGTGGGGTCACGTGACCTCAGGGAGGTCACGTTACCTGGGGGGTCACGTGACTTCGGGGTGGTCACGTGACCTCGGGGGAGGGGGGTCACGTCACCTCGTGGTTACGCCGACGCCGACGCCGCTCAAGCCGGAACCGGGCCCCTAAGATCTGCGCCCTAAAAAAAAGAGACAGGAGGAATTCTACACGTCAAATGTATAAGCAACTTCTAGGTAGCAAAGCCGCAGTGCTGAAGTTTCGGTGTCAGCATTTGTGTAAAACTAGGCTATAGCCTAAACTAAGCTAACCGTTGACGCAGCACACCAGGGCTGCCTCAGCGTTGGATGTATTGCTAGGTAGCAAAGCACTACGGCTTCACTATCTAGCTTTGATGTATTGCTGTTCCACTCAAGGTCACACGATGTCTGGGTACCTATCCGGAAATTAGTACTATAGTTGATTTTAATGCGCCCAGGGTTGAAAACTACGAGCAGATCTTTAGTTCGTGGTTGGTTTTTGCCGAGTACCACCTGATAAGAACATAACCGCGGCCACATCCCCAACGCAACAGTCGAACAAGACAAGCTTGTGGCAGAAAGTCAAAAGCAAAGATAGAGATGGCGCGAACATTGTGTTTAGTTGTTGTTATAATGGACAAAGAGAAACTCGCGAGACGACGTTTATCCACTCGTTCTCGTTGCGATGCTGTCGCGAGGTATCGCTCGCGTTATCGCCAGAAGGCGTTTGGAGTTGTTCATGGCTGGCGTCGATTGTGCACGTCATTTCATGTCTCTGACGTCACACCGAGCTGGTCGAACAAAGCATGCTCAGATGCCTCCTTCTTCCACAGACAGCTTTCTGCGCATGCTCACTGCCTACACGACTTTAGGGGCAGACGACCGGTCGATACAATAACCGATTTACAACGTCTCAAAACAACTTCACTTTTTTTTTTGCTACTTTTATAAGGATATAATATACTAATTCATCTAAGGTTCTAGAAGGGTGTCGCCTCTAAAGTGAGGTCGGTTCATTGAAACCGATGTGCTCGAAGCAATCAGTGTACAATTAGCGCGCAGATTAGCAGCGTCCGTGTCTGTCTTGTCGGCGAAAGTTAGTTTTATGAAGGGTAACGCAGGATCGGTCGCTGGCAACTTGTTTTTCGCGAAGTGAAGTACGTGTGCTGATTGAACCCTATTCTTCTCTTCTGTGGACGACGTAGCCCCTGGACGAGACCGGCGAAAGCGGCTTCGCCGAGACAGAGCTGACTGAGGGCACCGGGATGAACGGACTGGGACCCCGGAGGAGCGTGGACTGTGTCGACGAGTTCGGCGGCAAAGAAGGGGAGAAGATCTCGGAGTGGCAAGCAGGCTGGAACGTCACAAACGCCATACAGGTCTGCCATGTCAGCCTATATAAGTTCCTATACGTCATTTCGCTTAAAAAAAGGGTCCAGACATTCGATATTGGGTTGGAATACCTTCTCGCTTTACACAAATATACTCGCACGCAACACCACTGACCATAAAGCTTCTTCGTCGCGGTGTAATTGCAAGCATAAAATCGGGCTATCTCTTTCCATCTCTCCTTCGGATGAGTGGTTTACCTCGCCACGGAGGTTACTTCATTTGCTGCATCAGAGCATGAGAAAATTCCACTGTGAGTGCGCCTAACTCAGTGTCCCGGCCCGGGGGGCGCAAATCTCTAGCAAGTGTCAGAGATTTGCACCCCGCCTTTTCCATGTTTTGGCGGGTGTCTTCAGCGCGGCTTTGCAAATGTCCAGCGAAGCGTTTCCTTTTCCTTCTTTTTTTACACCCCGGGGTGCCATCCTGAGTTTTTGTACTTGCCCAAGGAAGAAGGGGAGGGGAAGCGTTAGCCCCCCCCCCCCCTTTTTTTTTCTGGGAAAAAATCCTGGCTACGGGCCTGTCAATGTCGTATGGCCTCACTACAAAGGGTATCTTTAAAACAAGTCTACTGAAAGACCCATAGTGACATTTGACGCTTTGCCAAGAGAGTTTGCTTCATCAGAGCCTGAAGATGCTAAGCCTCTTAGCGAAACGTCGGCTTCCTGAGGTTTCCGTAACGCCGTAGTGAACTAGTCATAGGCCATACAAAAGACATGGTGTTTGCTGCATTTATGATGATAGAATTATCTGAGGACAGCGGCGTAGACTTTCTATTTTCCCGGAGGGGGCAGGCTGAGATTCCTGGGGTGGGCGGGGGGGGGGGGGGGGGGGGGGGGGGGTGCTGCGCGTTACCTTTTCATTAGAACTGGAGATTGAAGGTAACGAAAGCACGCTGGGATTCCATATCCCATGTATTTTGTCAATAAAGGCAACGTGGGCGTTATTTTGTTTACCTGCCACTACTAGAAGCTCGTTACATGGCACGTAAACAGCGTCTCGGTAAGGATCATGGCCCGGGCCCGGGCTCTGCCCCCCCCCCCCCCCCCCCCCGGATCTCACCTACGGAGGCACGAGCCCCGATGCCCCCCTGAAGTCTACGCCTATGTCTGCGGACACTCCTCAGCTATGATCAAAGCATGTTAACTTCATATATACGTACGATTCGAACATGTCAAAAGACAATTCTTGTATGACAAATGTTACAAGACCAGCCACGCAAGAAAGAAACACTCCTCGGACAGTGTCTGTGGGCTGTCTCTTGTATGATGTATTAGTAATGTGACCGCGGAATAGGGCTGCTTTGACGACCTTCTTGTTTTCGCTGGCCCTCCGCAGGGGATGTTCATCGTGAGCCTGCCTTTCTCGGTCCTGCACGGCGGATACTGGGGCGTCGTGGCGCTCGTCTTCGTAGCCTATATGTGCTGTCACACGGGCAAAATCCTGGTGGCCTGCCTCTACGAACCCAACGAACGCGGAGAACTGGTGCGGGTCAGGGACAGCTACGTGGCCGTGGCACAGACTGTCCTCGGTCCCAGGTGGGGCGGCAAGGCCGTCAACATCGCCCAGATCATCGAGCTCCTCATGACCTGCATTCTGTACGTCGTCCTCTGCGGCGACCTCATGATTGGCTCTTTTCCGGAGGGCGCCGTAGACCAGAGATCTTGGATCATGCTGACCACTATGGTCCTCCTACCGTGCGCCTTCCTCAGAAACCTAAAGTCCGTCTCCTTACTCAGCTTCTGGTGCACTGTCACCCATCTCTGCATAAACGCCATCATACTGGGTTACTGCCTGACGCGGGCGCCCGAATGGGCCTGGGCTAAGGTACAGTTCCGCATAAACATCAACAAATTCCCAGTAACCATGGGAATCGTTGTCTTTAGCTACACTTCGCAGATTTTTCTGCCCACGCTCGAAGGCAATCTGAGGGACAAGTCCAAGTTCCACTGCATGCTCAACTGGAGCCACATTGCCGCAGCGGTCTTCAAGGCACTTTTTGCCTACGTGTGCTTCTTGACGTGGGCCGAAGAGACCCAGGAAGTGATCACCAACAATCTGCCCACCAAGGGCTTCAAAGTGGTCGTAAATTTGATCCTCGTAGCTAAGGCGTTGTTCTCCTACCCACTCCCTTACTTCGCCGCCTCCGCCCTCATTGAACACGCCTACTTCAGGGAACGACCTAAGACATTGTTTCCGTCATGCTACGCCATCGACGGCGAGCTACGCATTTGGGGCGTCGCGCTCCGCGTGGGATTAGTTGTGTTCACGATGCTGATGGCGATATCCATTCCCTACTTCGCCCTGCTCATGGGCCTGATTGGTAGTTTTACGGGCACCATGTTGTCTTTCATTTGGCCGTGCTACTTCCACATGAAGCTCAAGTGGGATACGATGGAATGGTACTCGATCAGCTGGGAGGTGTTCATCATGTGCTTCGGTGGCTTTTCGGGTCTGGTGGGGATCTACACGTCCTTCGCTGGCCTCGTGGAAGCCTACCATCTTCCGCTGCCTCACGTACCGGTGATTGAGTCCTAGAATGTGCCTCTTTGCGCGGGATGTTGGCGCCTCTTTTTTTTTCTTTTTTGTCTGCACAAAGATATTTGACAGCCAAAAAGAAAGGACGCTTTTCAAAAGTGAGCGCCATCTGCCTGTGACTCGAAATTTTCCCTAAAAGTAGCGAAATGTAACTGTCGAATTCACTGGTTATACTGACTTCTATAGCTCCACAAAATCCCAATTTGGAAGAAGAAAGCTTACCAGTGGACTTGAAAGATTGTAGGCCACAAATTGAGTTCACCAGAAATGATCGTGTTTCCTTTCGTCGTCTCAAGTTGGGATTCACGATGTGTCAAGAGTACATGAAACATTGTAACGACATTGAGACATAGTTGGTAAAAGCAGCCTCTCGCCGTCTTCCAGTTTCTAGGCTACAACTAAATCGTTGTTATATTGTTGACTCTGAAATGGGTCCTCACTTGGCCAGAGTTGGCTGAAAAATCATTGAATAAGCTGTCTTCCTACGATGATCTCTCATCGGACATAAAGACAGCTCATCGTGGAGCCAGGCCATATATTAGTCTTCCAAAGCAACGATAGTGACACTCTGGACTTCCAGAAGACTACTGTGACGGTTTACACAGATGTTAAACTGGATTATGGTTATAAAAATATAAGCAGAATGAGGGCGAATGTACAAACCTCTGCTTTGTTTTTCCAAAGCACATCTACATATCTACTAGTACTACTAGCATTTTGAGGAAAATGTTATCCAAACCGCTGCTTTGATGTCTTCCAAGAGGCTTCCACAAACTTCCGTGAGTTCAACTCGAAAAAATGTCTTCCAGATCCGTTCTCGAGCCTAGGGGTAGAGTTCAGCTTTTGCTAATTTCTAACACGAGTTCTGCAGCATCGCATCTTGAATTCACTCCACGCATATCAACGAGTCTTCTTGAGACAAAGTCTTCCACACGAGCGGGATTACGCCCAACCACGAGGCCTATTTCGCTTCACAGTGCAAACTCATGGAAGTGTGCAACGTGCCAAAATGTAGTGAGCTCCCTACAATAGTGAGGACGAGAAGGAAAGAAGAACCATAGTAAAGAATCGTTTATGACATCTCGTCTTCCATTAAGCAAGCCTTACTATGAGGCTCTGCTGTTACAATGTTAGGTGAAGATATACAAGGCTTATTGAGTGATAGGGGGCATAAAAGTTACCCTCCCCCATTTCATGTAAAGCCCGTCGACACACTGTCTGTATATTGTAGTGCTGAACGCTATGCACTTCAGGTTGTAAAACATGGAAGTCTTCCATTCCGCAACGCAGCGTACTGTTGTGTACGCGCCACGCCTGAGTTATTGTAGAAAATCATATATACATATATTATATTATATTTGTAACAAAATACACGCGTTCCATGTTGCACCGTTTCGTGAAGGTGAGCTTGAATGAATGCGAGTGGGCTTCAAGTTATCACTTGCATCCAGCAATCACACTTTATAGAAACACTGCCAGTGACGCATAAAGAACGTCCTGATGGCGTTCCAACTCGGCGAGAGATTGTTGCTTTTGGAATTCATTTTTACTGCATAGAAATATTCATGGACAGTGGGCTCCACGTGACAGTCAGCAATGAGTTCATGCACCGCCACATTCCTCCACCGCGAGGGATTCACCGCGTGCGGTGATGTGGTTCACTCATATTCTGTGTTCGACTGTTAAGCTCCAGACACGTGGATGACGAAACGGCGGACTCGTCGTGCGAGGCATCGGAAGAAAATTTATGTGGGGTCATAGCCTTTGAGTTTCCCCATGTGCAATTTGCACAGCTGCCATCAAGGGCATTCCGAAACGTCGTGCTGCTTGCCGGTTGTCTCGTTATGCAAATGTCTGACTCTTCACTTATTCAGTATGAATGACTCTTCACTTATTCAGTACTGATGCTCTTTCGTCTACCAAACCAAGTCTATGGTTTTGCTGCTGGAAGAGTGTCTGGGATCAACATCTCCAAGACGACAAAGCCGCAGTGGTGAATTTTTGGCGTCACCTAACATAGGCCAACCCGAGGGCTTAGGTTGAACACGAGTGCTTTGTAAGCGCTCGGCTGAGAGCCATGTTAAGTCACTGAGAACGCGGGTCTCGGTCGACGCTGACGTAAAGGTCGTGTCCAATTTGTGTCGTGCGTCAGCCTTTTTTACGTGACGCCGAAACTTCAGCACTAGATATTTGTTATCAAGAAGATGTTGCTTTCACTGTGCTGATTTCGCATCATGCAGCTTAAAGGGGTCATGAAACGATTTTCCTACTTCTTCCTCCTTAGCTTTAATCCTCAACTCAAATGCGAATTGTGAAATCACGTGGTCGTGACATTCCTTCGGCACCGGTGCGATGACTCCTAGCTTCCACCGTGCTTTTTATGGACACCATAGAACTTGTCATTCCCTAGTGACAATAAGTTCCGTTAGGGCACTCATTGGCCACGAACGCGAATCCAAATATTCGTCGACGGATTGATTGTTGACGAGCGCATACGTCCGAGTGACGCAGTTCTCGTGTCCAATCCGTGAGCTGGGCTCTGCTGACGTCAGTTTGGCGCCGGTGACGCGCTTTTGGAACCGCGGATGTATCATAGTGAAAAGGCGGAGAGCTTTCGAAGGCAAGAACGTACAAAATAGTCCGCTATATTTTCAAATGTTCGTACCGAAAAGCTGGCTTTTGACTTTCTAGCATCTTTCTTTTGGCCAACTAAACGATATACGATTAGTAAAGTCCCAATTTAAAATCATTCATCTCAACCCAAAATTTGTTTCATGGCCCCTTTAAATTTCTAAGCGAGCTTTTTAATCAGCGGCATCATTGAACGACGTCAGGCTTGAAAAGGGTGAAGAATAAAAATTAAGATGATTTAAATCATGCTTTGCCAAATTGCAACAATTTGGTTATGATGAATTATATTTAACAAAATACTTTTCCCAAAAACTATACTGAACATATTTTCTATTTACCGTTCATCCATTAGCGCCTGCTTCTCATGGGCATTTATTTTGTATTTAAAGTAATGAATGATCAAGCAGCAATTATTTATATAATTCAATCATTAAAAAAACACATCTAGTAATAAAAGTCACTCTTTTCTAGCTGAAGTGATTTCAAATCAAATAAATCTGATTTAAATAAAATAAATCTAAATTTACTGGGGTTTTTTTGTTTTTTTTTTACATTGAGTTTGAAACATGTGGATATTTTTTTCTTGATATGTGCTGTTGATGTTCATAATATCTTAGTTATTGCGTCTCGCACCTCTGAATGTTCGATTCATACGTTGAAATTGATTTGCGATATGTGGCAAAACATTTCTTTTTTTACATTCTACTTGCGATGCGTTCTGGGCGAGGTCTTAATGTGTTGATACAGTGTTCCTACAGATAGTACGTTGTTATTCTAGGATCTGTTAAGTGAGACACGTCACAAAGGTTTTCTAAACAAATGTGTTACGAGCATGTTATACTATAACGTACGTTACATGCAAGTGTTTACGTTCGATATTTATAGCCATCGCATCTAACTGAACATTGTCTTCCAAGCATATCTGTACAGTATTTACACTGACTCAAAACGTCTTCCACAAACAAGACATCGGTGAAACTTGGGGTTGAAATCACCAATGTTCTTTAATCATTCAGCGTCAAAGTTTGTCGGCTGAGTTTGTCGGCTGCGTATATTATGACTGGCAATGCTGTCTGTACCCGTAATGCCAAATGCTCATTTCAATCTACGAGAGAGTTAATCAAATATAATTCAAGACAAACGTCGCTGGCTTCGTGAATAAAGCGAGCCAGGTACACAGTTGTATTTTAAGCCACCGGAGATATCTAACCCTTCACGTGACCGGAACGAACCCTCGTCACGTCATTCCGAGACAACGCGTGCCAGTTTTCTGAAACCCTTTTCAAAAATCCACCAAGCAACATTGATTGGTTGCCAATCCTTAGGCACGAAGCGCGTGATTGGCTCCGAGCTCTCGCCGGACACAGAGCTCAGAGTGCGTGATCAGGTAATGGTGCGGACTTTTGGAAGGGGTTCATTCAGAATTGGTTCAATTGGGAAGTATTTTTGGGTGGCCTTGCCTATCTTACGTTACAGCGCCGAAGTGTTAAAGAAATTCGGTAATGAAAACCTAGTGAGGAAGTACATTGTCTTGTACGTACACATTACTCTAGTGATATGCATTGCTAATGTTGGTGTTGATAAGCCGTGAAAAAACAAAAGTGCGTTAACGAACCTTCCGTGTTTAGCCAAGGGGTGTACAGTCAGTTAAAGATGAGCCATAAACATGTACTTGGCACCGTCGTATTGTATATGCCCTCTTGGAGAAAAATGCGTGGACACTTTTATATTTCGTCCGGGCATAATCATGTCCGTGCGTGCCCTTTGTGATTTCTGCGTTCTGGAATGTGCGTGTAACCTGCGTTGCATTGCTGCCGTTTTGAGTTCCAAAGGCGGTGACACACATTAAGGTGCCTGGAAAAATGGTGCTGCGTGAATGGCGACATAGCATAAATCAACATCGTTATTTTGTCTCGTTAAGTTTATCTAGTCTCAACATGGTTTGATCTCCTAGCAATCTAGGGTGGCCGCAACTCTTAACGAAGTGTTACGGGAATTGTCAGCCTACCGTGTTCACGATGCTTACTCGTCAATGGCAATCGCGTCACTCCCTAAACCTTTCTTGGTTTGTATGGTGGACATAACTGAGATTACTCTAGACATCATATAACTGTTCAAACTTGCTGCACACATTACGAACGGCTTCTTCGCGACGCCTTCGTGAAACAGGTTGCTTCGTGAGCGATGTTCATTCGAATCCACTTTTTGCAGCGTGGTTCTCAAGGTTTCCACGCTGCAGTAACGAAAACAAATTTCAATCGAGACGACGTTATTACTGTTATCTATTAAAATATGTTTGACGTAACATTTTCCCCCTATCTAAAGCAAATGTGACAACTGTAATTTAACAATTGCACTGTGTAATATAA